TTATTTTTATCGGATCGGTCGTAGTCCGAGTCACCAAGGGCCGCAGAGTCTGTTGGGAAACTGAGGCAGGTTGCAAAAAGTCGGTCGGACAGAACCTGCTTACTGCTTTCAGGAAACAAGACGACGACGAAGATACGAACCAGCAGTGGAGCTACAACTCGTTCTGAACGGAAGAGGCAGACAATGCGATGCCATTACGGTACGTCGGATAAGGCTCCAGGAGAGCTTACAGTCGGAAATTGGAACATATCCTCAACCAAAGGATACGAGCAGGAGTTGATGAGGCCGTAAGGTACCAATTCGACATGGTTGGGCTCCCGTCAACTAAGCGTCAATGCTGCGAAATGCTCAGTTTCTGAGGGTGGAAGCTATTCTACTCAGGTGTCGACGTCACGTCGCACGCTCAGACCGGTTTTGGGGTTCTACTAGAACCAAAATTGGTTGACAGAATCACTGAATGGAAGCCTGCAACGGAAGAATAACGATCCTTCGACTGGCGCTACAACTTGATAAAGCGTCGACCTTGTTACAGATATCTGTGGCCAATTTGCAGGGAGAAAATGAGTCTTCCCTTGAGAAAGTAACGTGCTCTGTTTGTAGGAAGTGCCGACCACGTAGCCACCCATTCTAATGGGCGATTTTAATGCGCATGTCGGAGTAGACTCTGAAAGATGGAAAGGCGTGATTGGAAAGAAGGTTCCTAGCGACTCCACATTAACCGCATAAAATTGTTGCGGGTTTATGCAAACAACGGACAGTCTGTTATAAAAACCATCTTCGACCATCGAAGCCTATTCTTCGTATAGGGAAGCATGTGCACAAATGTCAGTGTTCGATTTGATAACCGTATAGTCTGACTCACGACTCACTCTGCAATGGATGTTCGCTTGCTAGGAATGGCACCCTCACTGTAAACGATGGAAAACAATGCGAAGACACGGAAGAAAAAGCAACCCGAGAATCAAACAGGAAACATTATCTTATGAGAATACGAGGTCAAACCTTGGAAACAACATCGCGCACGATTTCAACAGATCCAACTGATGACCGGTATGTGGAAATCGAGTGGAAGCTCTTTAGAGCAACCTACTCAGGGCTGCCACCGAAAGTAGTGATTTGAAACAGGTTGGCCTGCCGTCTGGAGGTCAAAAATGAACTCCCGATAAGGTTACATTCAGGGTGTGGTCTGGAGGTAAAGAGCCGGTGCGAAGAAACACGCAAGGCGACAGCTGAAGTAGTGGTCACAGCGAAAGTCGAATTTCCAGATGGTAAACAGTGTATCCCGGCAGATCATCCGCAGCCAAGAAATGGAAAGAAGGGCCACCTGAGAACAAGATTTACCGACGATAAGGTCTGACTGAAAGATTCATAGTAATAAATACGCATACGAAGAAAATCTGATACGAAAAAACGAATGCGAGAAAACTTGTTTAAGACCTGTAGACGCTTCAACAAATAAACATCACTCCCACCTGTTCAATAAGTCTCCTGAATTCCTGTAACTGAGTCTTGTCCTTGATGTCGTTGCAATTCTGCCATCCTTTGATTTGGTCGCGAAGGCGCTGAAAATAAAACAAAAGACGGCGCACTGTAAAAATACAAGAACTCCAGGGCCTCACCTGTAACTTTTTTATTTCTTTCTTCAAATCGGACTCGAATTTTTCCTTTTGGTTCAAATTGATCGCCTCATGAACCTGAATAAATGTTTTAAAACAAAACAGAATGCATTAGAAAGCCCAATTGAAGCCAAGGCATTGTTCTGTGTTGGCGATGGCTGAGAATGTGTTTGAATTCGAAACGTACTTTCTCCCATATCTCGTCGAACAGTTCCACTCCTTCCTGGACCTTTTTAATGCAACGGTCGATTTCGGCTATAAATCAGATATGCAGGCGGTTGGTCAGTCAAAAGTTTTGGCAACTAACCTTGAAGCTTTCTTTTATCTGCCATCTAAGACCAATGTCATGAAGAAGTGCATGTTTTCACCAGAAATCAACGAGCTCTTGGTGCAGCATATCTGAAAGCGGATGTCTATTAATTTTCAGCAAAGACGAGCACAAGGGTATATCAACTACGAATTAAGATGAATAATTTTTTGGCATTAAGATGCTTTCGGATGTTTTAAAACATGTAAACTCAGAAAACCAACGGTAGTAATAGATTATTCGACACAAGATCTGTTTCTCGCCTTCTAGCATAATGACAGTTGTCGAAATTCTACATGAAGATGATAAACATACGGGTCAGCAAACCAGCACCTACAAGTTCCGAAAGGAGGAGGTTCACAGCGAGATGCCAATATACAACGTAAGATAAGGCTCCAAGACTTCAAACCAAAAAGGATATATGCATCTCATACATTTAATAAATTAAGGGCAAAAATTAAAAGACGTAACTGTTACTCAATCCAACGTTCCCAACAGTGAATAATAGTTCTCTTTTCACATGTACACCGGTACAGAAGCTGCATCGTGCATTCCCGATTAGTGTTATTCATATAAACAATCTTTTTAACCGCATTACGCAAAGAAACACAATACAATTATGAGTAATTCTTCTATCGAATCAGTAGATATTAAGACACAACTTCCTTAAGGGTATTTTTGAACTTGCAAGAGTAAACAAGATACAGAGTTTACCTCGGCAGGAAGATTGTGCATGAGCGTGTCTCTTGGTAAGTACTAACATATCATTCGAAAGTCACAGCATCGTGGTTGCGCTGCTCGCTTCAGATTGCAATGTGCAACATATATTGTATAATATATTTATGTAGCAATACATAGTATACCATAGTGGCCATCGTCTAGATGTATGCTGTGCAATGCTACATGCACGACGTCTACAGTACTAAGTAATCAGCATTGCTAGTACCTTAAATACTCTACGTATTTATCATCATACACAATTTTTTGAATCATGCTGTATCCAACTGCCCAAGTTTAGCTTGATGCCGACTGAGCCAGTTAATTAAGGAACGGCTGTAGTGCACATTTACTACGCAGTAGTACTACACAGACTACTACATCCTGTACATCCGGCCTGGTCATATGGAATCCGGGAAGATGCAAATGGTAGGATTTTCGATAATGTGCACGTGAAACAGATGCACTAAATTTCTTAAAACGCTCTGCTAGCTGATAACCCAGCCCATTCCTATAAGATTTGCAGCATTCCTATTTTCCAGAAATTTGGGCAACACTGCTTGTAGGTACACCAGCCGTCAGGCAGAAGAACAAACAATCGTGAAAAAATGACCATTGAATCTGTACTACGATACAGCACTCTACTGTATGTCTGTGTGTGCATCGTTCTCAATTAGGCTGTACATCAGGGCTGAAAATGCAGCGCTGAAATTCATGTTTTCTGCGGGGAGCGGACGCATTAGCGTGATTTTTGGCACTTTTCACTGCTTCTGCAAAAGAAATACTCCTAAGCGATTAAAAGTCTTTGTTAAGGTTGTCCACCAGTCTTTGGGTATTAGTCCTCGAGGAGTAATTGAGTTACAACAAAAGAATGAAATAAGCCAGGGAAATTATGCAGTTCCTCACTGTTCAGGCGATTAGTTGACCTTTCAGCAAGGATGCAACTCTCGTAACTCAGTCGCAGACAGCACCTTCGGATCCGAGACTCGACAATATGAACAAATCCCTAATATGAAGCTTCAATACTCTTATGGGGCGCCGTTCAGAGATATGATCTTTTTCTGACCTGTACAGACGAAAGAAAAGAAGTCAGAATGCGAAAACCTAGACCGAAGATCTAGACTTTTGCCAGGTTTTCCAAACGCTGCATTCGCCAGTGCAATTCTTCAATTCAGCTCTGCGTACCAAAAGCTATCGTGGGAAATATTTGAACTCAGGTATTTAAAGCGATGTGTTTCATCTAACCGGCCTCCATCTAATGATATTTCCGTCATCTCTGTTCATTTTGCCTTCCTCAGAGCTCTGCTCTTCCCTCCATTAAGTCGGAGACCCCTCTCTTTCTGTAGTTTTAACGAGCCGAATCAGTCAAAAGCCGAAATTCGTCTCTGTCATTCACATGTTCGAATTCTTTGAAATGCACAGCAGGGTACCTTGAAAAGCTTCGTAAGCTCAAAGCCGATTCACTTTGGCATGATGGTTAGCGCTTTTCCTCATCAGGTAATCAGAACAGTGCCAAACATCTGCCCCGTAATCTGACATCGAAACACTTCGGCAGACTGTCTTCTGTTTTTACGGCTCATTCCAACCCGATCGCCATACTGGTGTTCCTAGTTATTGATTATTTAATTTGAAATATTTGACTGGCACACCGTTCTGCACGCTGGGTCAGTGAATTGAGTCAAAGGCAGGTTTGAAGTCAAATAACAACACGTAAAACGGAAGCTGGAATTTTCCATATTGCTGCATGACAGTGCGAAGCAAAAGTATGTAGTTGCTACCTGAACGACCTCGCTTGAATCCAGTCCAGTTGTTCCTCAACTTCTACGCTCCATGTATTCATACGTCTTCGCTCCATATTGTACTATACCGCAAACAAACGAGGTAGTATATATACCGTCCTACGTATTGGATATATTCTACTATGTAGTACTCTACCTAGTAAAGCATAGCACTAGACATATACTGCAGTGTAGCATTCTATATGCTGTAGTATCGTATAGCATACTCAGTATTACATTATCACATATTATGCAAACATGCATAATATACATAGCAGTTGGTAAACTGTATCATATAGACACCGGTACTGCTGCTGTCACTCGACAGACAACTGATTTGCGTTGTGCAATAATAATAAACCGCTTCCAAGTGGCGTGTTAGTAGTTCTATGTTCACCTAGTTCATGCTTGCTTGGAGCACCTTCAGAATGCCTTGCCGATTATTAAGGTACCGCATAAGGCCAATTGTCTTCTTCAATCAATTATGAAGCTCCAACACCAGGTAATGTTGCACTCCAGTGGCGATGTACAGAAGAATCGCGAAATCTGGATGATCTGGAAAAATCTGATGAAGACCACTGTGCAGACTGCTTATAATAGTTTTGCCTTCTTAGCGGAACGGATTTGGCATGATACCACCCACCCAGTTCACCTCCATCTTCAGACACTGCGTAATCCCATATACGGTTCTTGTATACTGCTGAGCACTACTCCACACCTGACTGTGCAATCAGCAGGTGCTAACAACAAGCAGTTTGAGAAACTGTCAAATCAACCGAGAAACCGGGCGCCTGGCTTAGTTCGATAAATCATCTATAAATGAGAATGAAAATCTTTTCAAAACTTTTCACGTGCGAATCACTAAATGGCCGTGGACGAGTCTGAAGACAACACAAAGCATGGCAACACTTTGTTGACGCAGACCTGCCTGCGAAAGAAATATGACTTCGATTGTGCAGCGGATGTTGCCTAATATAAATTTAATATACCATTTCTAAACGTCAGACATCTTAAATCTGGGTTACTACGCTGCTTAGGTTCTGCTAGTGTTTGATGACGATGAAAGCAACAATGTACTCGATACGTCATACAGGATACGGTTACATAGCACTGTACCATAGAGCACAGAAAGTATTATATATATTGTATGTACAGTAGAGAAATATGTATGAAGTTCACATATACATTCCGGGAAAAAATCCGCAAGAAAACAGTTTAATTATGCATTATGCAATTTAGTAGTCTATCGGACGGCGATGTATGACCTGACTGAAAATGAGCGGCATGTATGCATATAATATACCTTGATCATGCATGAGTAGTAATGATATATCTACATGTAGATACATGCAGATCTACGTCACGTAGATCCAAACAGATTCAGATCCATATATCCATGACGCTCATTTACAGTCAAGAGATCATAGATCGCCGTTCGATAGAATGTTATATTGCAAAATGTATAGCTAAACTGTTTCTGTGGGGATTTTTCCAAGGAATGTCTACCTATGCAAGATCGAAATATCATATCTTTGCTAAGTTATAAACGATACCTAAAAATGATCAAGCTTAACATAAAGTACAAGACATAAGTTCCAGAAAAAACAGACGTGAACGCAACGACTGTGCAAAAAACAAAAATTTAGTCACGAAGTTTGAAGGATTTTCGAGTGCTGTTAGCGTCGTTTATTGAACAGAGATAAAACGAGGGCAAGAAAATACAGGCGACCCTGGCAAAAAAATGAACAACTAATTAATTTGCAGAAACACATCCACGTAGCAGCATTTTAACTGGTACGTGATGGCAGTTTGGGGAAGGGGAGGGGCAACAAGCCAACAAGTACCTATTCATACGGTAAAAATAGCATGTGTGCAGGAACAGGCCCGATCTACCAAAAAGTGCGTTCGACGTCACGTACGACAAACATTACGGCAAGACTCAGTGATAATGATAAATTCGCATAATCTTACAACTGCAAAGAAGGTTTAAGTTGTCAGCTGAACTTCTGTGAATAGAGGGAAGAAAATGCTGACGTTTGCCTATGCATGTATTTCGGTTCTCATTCTTGCAAAATCACTTTCAGCATGATATCGGAAAGTTCGCATCTACATTTCGGCCTTTGAAGAAATTGTTAGCCATCTAAACACGTATTTAAATAAATCTTTAAAAACCGAAATTTCGTCAAACAATATATGTGTACAAACAGAATATAATTATTCCACACGATCCAAATACACTCCCACAAAGATGAGGCCGAAGCCACAGTCTCAGCGGCAAGGCATACCGCAAGGCAACGACTTTTGGCAACAGTTCGTGAAACGCGGGTTCACAGAACAGATGAAAATGAATGGACGCAATACGGCAACAAGTGTGTTACAGTTTTATCTTTTATCCAGATGCCGATCACACGGATTATGCCATAGGAAAAGGTATCCACTTTAAACGTATGGCACAGCTGTTTTGCAAAGTAAAACCGATGCAGAAGTGAAAAAGAGTAGAGAAATAAGTAGGAGATCACGGGAGCTCTAG